CTTAGAAAAGAGAAAGATTTCCTAAATGGGAAAAAAATATATTTAAAATAAAAATTGATGAATTGGACTGCATTAAACTTAAGAATGCTGTTAAAATACACCATAAAGTGGCAAAAGCAACAAAATATGAGAGAAGCAACACATATAAACTATAATAGATTAGTGTCCGGAATATATATAAAACAAATCAATAAGGGGCGCATGGGTGGCTCAATTGGTTAAGTGTCCAATTTCAACTCAGGTCATGATCTCATGGTTCGTCAGTTCAAGCCCCAAGTCATGCTCTGTGCTGACAGCTCAGAGCCTGGAGCCAGCTTCAGATTCTGGGTTCTGTGTCTCCCTCTCTCTCTGCCCCTCCCCCACTCGCACTTTGTCTTTCTCTCAAAAAAATAAATATTAAACGTTTTAAACCAATCGACGAGAAAAAGATAAACAATGAATTACCAGCTGGGCAAATGTCACAACTGTTTCACAGAATAAGAAATTATAGTCAACAAACCTATCAAAAAGTGCTTAATCACATCACTGATTAGGGAAATGCAAATTACGATCAGTTTGAGAAACCGTTTTATAATTACCATATTGATAAAAATCAAAGTCTGATAGAAAAGTTTCCTAGGAGGAAAATAAGAACTCACCAGTTACAATTACTAGCTTTGTCATAAGCTGGTACAACAGCTTTGTATTAAAAAAATAGCAGCATCTTATGAAGTTGAACATTTTTGAACTTTGTGGGTTTGCAATTCTATTCTTGGGTGTATACTCTGGGAAAGCTTGTGCAGGTTTGCACCAGGGAACATGATTAAGAATGTTCATAGCAGCATGTGCTAGAATAACAAAATATTTCAATAACCTAATTATAAAATGAAGAGAAGACATAGATCTAATAGAATTACTTACACAACTTGTAAAATTATATAGCTTTGAAATATAATATTGAAAATTAAGAACAAACAAAGGCACATGGGCAAAACTCCAGGGAAAAAGAACACAAGTGACAAGATAAAGTTAAGTAAAATTTAAAGCGAAATGATTTAACAGAACAACATATAATTTGTTTGTGATAAACAACAGAACAGGAATGTTTGTATAGAATAATGTTATGGAATAGAACAACTTAAATGGCACAGATTTAGCAACAATTATAGTGGGAGATTTATACAAGCTTATCTTTAGACAAAAAGATAAAATGATTAACAAAATCAACTTACAAAATTATCTAACAAAATTTATTTTATACGTGTGTATGTTAGCGCCCCACATGGAGAATACACACCATTTTCTCATATAGTCATGGGACATATTGAAAAATTGATCATATAATTTGCCATAAATTTCAAAAATTAGAAATCTTATGGTACCACCACCTATTGATAAAGCCATAATATTAACAATCAACAATGAAGAAGTTAAAAAAGAAAATTCTATAAACACTTAGGGGAAAAAGTCTTCAAAACCACTTGGACCAATTAAAAATTAAAATTAAAATGATAGACTATATATTAACAAGATTTTATTTCTAGCTATATTAAAAAGATATTCATCATTTTTAAATGCCAATATTTGAAAAAATAAACATTGGATATAGATAATGCTATTCATTTAAGTAAAGAAGAGAGAAAAATATGAATGAAATATGAGGAAATAATTAAAATGAAAGCAGAAATAAAAAAGTAGAAAACATTAAGTTATGTCTTAACAAAGAGCTAGTTCTTTGGAGGAAAACCACAATAAAATAGAAAATCACTGGTACCTTGAAAAATGTGAAAAAAGCAATATATAAATTTTTCCATCCTTACTAATGAATGAAAAAGGTGTAATCACAGAATTGGAAAAAATTTATCAGATCATGGCAGAATATACTGTAATTTTTTTCCATGTTTTGAAATCTAGATAAAACAGTGGATAATTTGCTTTGAAAATAAAATTATAATTCTGGTTTGGGGGAAGGCAGCTAATTTAAATAAAATGATAACATGGGGCACCTGGGTGGCTCAGTTGGTTAAGTGTCCAGCTTCAGCTCAGGTCATGATCTCAGGGTTTGTGAGTTCAAGCCCTGCACTGGGCTCCGTACTGACAGCTCAGAGCCTGGAATCTGCTTCAGATTCTGTGTTTCCCTCTCTGCTCCTTCCCCACTTGCGCTCTCTCTCTCTCTCTCTCTCTCTCTCTGTCAAAAATAAATAAACATTAAAAAAATTAAATAAACTGATAAGAAAAAGGAAAATGTAGAACTATAAAGCTGACAAGATTGATATATTTATAATGGGCTTTACTCAAATCTTTTAAACATTCAGTTAATTTATATCTTTTAAACTATTTGATAACTTGCCAAAAATACAAAAACTTTCAAATATATTTTGCAAGACTATAATTTCAGTGGTACTAAAATCAAATAAGGATAGAGCAAACATGGAAAGTTAAAGCCTTTTTTAAAAATAATTACAAATAAAAAATTCCTGAGTAAAAATTAACAAAACTGTTCTAGCAGTATGTTTAAACAAGTATTATAATATAAGCAAGTAAGATTTATTCCAGAAATAAGACGTCATTAAATTACTAGTGGATTTTGGGGTGCCTGGGTGGCTCAGTCAGTTAAGTATCTGACTTTTGATTTCTGCTCAGGTCATGCTCTCACAATGGTCAAGATTCTCTCCCACTCACGGTAGAATTCTCTCACTCTCCCCTTCTCTCTCTGCCTCTCTCCTTGCACACGTGCTTTCTCTCTCTCACAAAATAAATAAATAAACATTAAAAAAAGTATTGGTGGATTTCAATTCACTATAAACTAAAATGGAGGAGCATGAAATCTTCAGAATTTCCCCAAAAAGGCATTTTATGTGAAAAGAACTTTTCTGCATGAAGCAAAAACAAAGATAAAACTCCCAAGTAAACTAAGAATTAAAAAAAAATTCTCGGCATTATATGCCCCCTCCAAATCAATGGCAAAACAAAACAAGACAAGATAATAAAAATGCTAAACCATTAAGGACAAGAGAAGATTTCTTATCACCTCTATTATTCTGGCTTGTACTGCAGATATTAACTATTGAAATAGAAAAAAAAGTGTAAATATTGGAAATAAAAATAAAATGGATTATTATTTTTAAATGAATTATATTCAGAGTATAAAGGGAAAATTCATAAAACTAGTTAGAGAGATTAAGGGAGCCAAATACAACAGAGTGACAAAACCAAAGCCTCTTTCTTTATAACAGCAATAAACAAATAGAAAAGACACTAGTAAGAAAAACTTTCAGTTCATGATAGCCATAAAAAAGTAAACAAAAAACCCTGCTAATTCAGAGAAAAAAATGCATAAGAAGCATACAAAGAACAACATAGCACATTTGGTGGATGGTAAACTTGGTAGGATTTGCTTTATCAGTTACAAGATTTAAAACAATGAAGAACTGTGACATTAAACAGATGTATCAATTTTTGGAATAAACAACACAGAATCAGAGAGAGAGACTATGGAATCTTAGTATATAAAAGTGTAGACTTCAAAACAGCAGGGAAAGAGTAAATGCTTAAACAAATTATGTTGGGTCAATTGGCTGACCCCTTGGCGAATACCATGCAATAGTTATATTTCAAATCACATTCAGTATTAGATATAATTTACAATGAAATGTAAAAAATAAAAACATAAAATTAGAAAAACTTGGAGAGTATATATATAATCTTTGTGGTGGGGAAGTGTTCTTTTAAGCAAGACACAAGAGCCAGAACTATGAAGGAACTATGGATAGATTGTTAACACAAAATTAAAAGCATTTAACAATTTTTAAAGGTAAACTATTAATTGCTAAAATATTTGTCCCCCCAAAATGCTCCTACAAAGCAGTAAATAAAAGACAAGCTAAAGACAAATGGATAGATGTCGACCTGATTGGGCCATAGACCTGGGGCGGCGAAGGAACTGAGAGAAAGAGACGACAGTATAGCGAGGCACAGGGGACCCCTGAGCCAACAACCCAAGGTACTGAGGTTTATTGAGCGTCTTCTTATGTATGTTTTCAGGAAAAACAGATTAGCAATGGTTAACAACCGAAACTTAGCAAAACATGTCAACAATGTACATCTGATTCAGCTATCGTACATATCTTGCGTACGAGATCAGTCTTGCAGATACATATGTTTTGATAAGAATCTTTATGATAGAAGGAAAGACAAAGAAGAGAGTGAATGCACTGTGCTATATACAGCTGGCTTCCTTTAAGCAAAACATCCCTATCTGCCCACTAAAGAACAGAACACATTTCCCAAGGTAATTCACTCAAGTCCTTTCAGGTAATTAATTTTTAACTTCAGTATCTTGAGTTTTCTCAAAGATCTTGGAGCCTGAGCGAATATATGCACCTGCGGTCATTGTGGTGTTCTGTTCCCACAGGTAGAGAATATAAAGACTATTTCAAAGCCTAGAAATATTTAAAAGATGTTTCAGTTTATTAAAATCAAAAGGACTGCAAATTAGACAGGAATGAGGGGTTTTTTTGGTTTGTTTGTTTTGGGGGGTTTTGTTTTTGTCTTTTTTTTTTAATCTAGCACATTAGCAAAGATCGGTAATTTCTTTTATATATATATATATATATATATATATATATATATATTTTTTTTTTTCTTTGGTTTTGGGACAGAGAGAGACAGAACATGAACGGGGAGGGGCAGAGAGAGAGGGAGACACAGAACTGGAAACAGGCTCCAGGCTCTGAGCCATCAGCCCAGAGCCCGACGCGGGGCTCGAACTCACGGACCGCGAGATCGTGACCTGGCTGAAGTCGGACGCTTAACCGACTGCGCCACCCAAAGATCGGTAATTTCAATCACTGGTGAGCATGTGAAGAAAAAATCATTCTTACATACTATTTGATGAAGTATAAATTGACAGATTATAGAAGGCAAGTAGATAATATCTAAATATTTGGTAATCACTTAAAATATTGAAACACTTTAATCTGAAAACTCCATTTTTAGGGAAACATTTTTCCAGATCAAAGAAGTGCAAAAAAAAAGATCTCTAAGAATGTTTATTTCAATGTAATACACATTTGCTGCAACCTACCTGTCCATCAATACACATTCAGGATTATATAGCTATAAAATAAAATCCTACTAGGCCACTAAAAACGAATAGAATTTTATGTGCTGACATAAAAAAATTTTGCTATACATTATATAGTTACACTGAAAACAATGTGTGTTGTGATCCAATTTATGTATATACCTATAATTCCATATATTTTTAATGTGCAAAACAAGATCGTAAAGTTTATAATAATCACATTTGAAAGGATATGAATGAGTGGGGCTGGACAACAACATTCGAAGAAATATTTAAACAATATTTGAAGAAAGTATTTGTGCAAAAGGTCCTTAACTATTTCTGTGACATATTTTGCCTTTTTGTTCTTGAGACCTTTTGGTGCTAAATAATATGGGATGTGGGAAATGAAGAGGCAAAGGGATGGTCTCTTGACAAAGTCGTCTGGCTTCATTCTGTATTCAAAGAAGGGGACTCTCTCAATTGTGGACACAATTTCAGTTTTGTTACGATGCCCTTCAAAATAAAGTAAGCTTAATATTTGCTGAGTCCAGATGGAACCTGTAAAAATAAATAATCCTGTTTTCAACTCTGAATTGATTTTTAAAAATAAATGTTAATAGTAACGCTATCCATCTAAAAATTATTTGGTGCTTTTTATTTCTATTCACCACTCTTAATACACCAAGGAATTTGTTCAAGTTTTATGGGTTTTCTGTATTTTGTATTAAAATTAATAAAGATAAAAGCAAGGGCTCTTAGTTCCTTTTCCATACTCTGAAGAACTGTGGTTGTTCTGATTCCATGATAGTGGTGATCAGATTAATCCTTCAGCTACTTCTCTGTTTTCTTTCTGTTTTTTCAAAAAAAATTTTAAGCTTCATTTGTTTTTTGAGAGAGACAGAGTATGAGCAGGGGAGGGGCAGAGAGAGACAGAGACATAGAATTGGAAGTAGGCTCCAGGCTCTGAGCTGTCAGCACAGAGCTGGAACCCAGGAGCCATGAGACCATGACCTGAGCCGAAGTTGGAGGCTGAACTGACTCAGACACCCAGGCACTCCTCTGTTTTCTGTATTTCGTGTAAATTCCCTTTTTTCAGTTTTCTGTGGCTCCCTCCCTCTGTGGCTTCCTTAGTCTCCTTTCTTAGAACTTCATCTTCTAGAAATATAGACAAATGAAGAACCCAAGTCCCCTTTCACTTTTTTTTTCTTATTGAGCAATACAGGTCTTCCCGTACAATGTTGAAGAAAAGTAGTGACAGCAGACATTTTTGTCTTGTTCCTGATTTTAAATGCAATATTTTAATTTTCACTATTGCATATGATGTTTGTGGTGCATTTGTGGAGCTTTTGGTGCATTCTGTTTATCAAGTTAAATAAGTTCCCTTTTCGCCCCTGTTTGCTAATAGTTTCCATTGTGAATGGATGCTGCTGAAATATTTTGAGTGAATGTTCTGCATTTATTGAGATGATAATTCAAGCTTTCTCCTGTACTCTAGTAATGTGAATGAACTACATTAATACATTTTTAGAACAATCTTGGCTCTTGAGAAAAACCCATTTTGGTCACAGTGTATTTTTTTTAACATCATTGAATTTGTTTTGCTTGTATTTGGTTTAGGGATTTTGCAACTATGTTCCTGAATGTAACATCAATGTTCTAAAAAAGGGTCTGAGATACCAAGAATCTTGCAAATGTCACTACTCAACTGATTTGTCTGCATGACAGATTTGATATAATTTATGGTGGATCCTGGGAAGGCTCACTAATCTCTCTTCGAAAATGAGTAAGAACCTAACAGGCTGGACTCAGGATTGGTGTGAGGTGTCCCAAACACTTGGGATGCATTAAATATAAGGGAAAAACTCTTATGGATGGCAGGGCTTGACCTATAATTAAGCAAACTGAAATGGCACCAATGTCTAATGGAGGGAAAAAAAAAAAAAAACCATCAGTTGTGTGTTTTGCAGAGTGGAAGGATCCAGGGATGAGGCATGTGCTTACTCATTTAGAGAAAGTAAACAAGGTCATGAATTTCAAAGTAGATAGCAAAAAGGAGAAACTGAAGCATTTTCATGAAAATCAGGAATAATTACTTTTTTTGTATTGACTTTAGACTCCAGCATATCTTTGAGCAACATTAACCACTCTATACAACATTGCTTCAAGGACAACAATCATCCTATATTCAAAAAAGCCCAACTTAAAAAATAAGCTTTTTTTGGAATAAAAGATTTTAAAACTATTTTAGCTTCAAATTATTTCATTATTGTAGAGAAATACAAAGCAATTAGAGTAATTGAAAAGTATACTAGGGATTAGTTCTGCATGAGATATGCTGCTAACAAAAATCCTACAAGATTTTTAAAATCCGTTTTCTTCCATTCTCAGACCAAGCCAACAGGTCAGCATTTACCAATCTGCTGTTGGCTCAATATTTGCTTTCTCCGTATGTGCCATCCAGAAGTGACAAAATATGTGGGGCACCTGGGTGGCTCAACTGGTTAAGCTTCCGACTTCAGCTCAGGTCATGATCTTACAGTTCGTGGGTTTGAGCCCTGCATTAGGCTCTGTGCTGACAGCTCAAAGCCTGGAGCTTGCTTCAGATTCTGTGTCTCCTTCTCTCTCTGCCCCTCCCCTGCTCGTGCTCTGTGTCTCTCTCTCTCAAAAATAAAGACTGAAAAAAATTTTTAGTCTTTAAATAAAAAAAAAAAAAAAAAAGAAATGAGAATATATGTATCCCAAACAACCCAGCATCATAGAGATTTTAGATTTATCTTCTTTTCTGATCCTAAAAGCAGGTTGGGCTTCTGTCAATGTCTGGAAAAGGGGACAGTTGTACATGTGTATTACCAAACCAGAATGAAGATTTAACAGGTGGCCCCCTCCTCAAACTTACCAGATTTTGGATATGCAACTATGAAAACATTGTCGTCTCTAATTCCAAAATCTTCTAGAGTTTCTAGTATGTTAATATTAGTTGCAGAACGTGCAGAATAACAGTTTTTAAATTTTAATAAATATTTTTGTGTTGTCCATAATTAGTCACCTACAAGTAAAAACAGATAAAACTCTTTTCAGCTCCTTAGTATTTTAAAATAACGACTAACCCTTATTGAGTGTTCAATATGTGCCAAGTACTACTTAAATGTCACATGTGTAGCAACTCATTGACCGTATTAAAAGCCTTAAATGTGTTAAATTATTCAATCTTCACAGCAATCTAACTTTGCTAGAGGTATTGTTATTATCCCTATCTTAAAGATGAAGTAACAAATACTAAGAGGTTAAACATCTTTTCCTAAAATAAAATGGTGGAGACCTTATCATAATTCCAAGCGTACAGATGTGGAAAATAAGACACAAAGCTGGTCATCGAACAGCTCCAGGTTGCCCAGCTATCAGAACTGGTAAGATTTGGTGCCAGGGAAGTTGGCCACAGAGTTCATACCTTTAATCACCTTACCATGCAGTTTCTTAGTATTTTCTATTTTTATCCTTTACAGTTCTAAAATTGTTATAGCAATAGAGAATGTTTTAATGAATGTACTTTTCATTTTTGGTTTTTTTTTTCCCCCTGGAACGTAAAGAAGCTCCTAAGGCTTTGAGATCGGATATGCTGTTTCAAAAGAGTTGTGGCAAATGTTCCGCATGAGTAATTGGAATTGGTTTTACTTTGAAAATGTTACCTTCATACAGTTGTAAGCTACTGCATGGCAATTATATTTTCCAATGGATGTTTTTTCAAAAATCTGAAATAAATCTAAGTAAGAAAGTAAAAATTAAAATAGGAAGCAAATAGTCTAAAGAATATGTATGCAAAAATTGAGCCTGCCAAGCTTTTCATTAGCTCTGCCTGAGAAATCTATTCTTGAATTTAAATAGATGAGAGAATCTCAGAAGTTCTAATAATATTAGGTTAGAACCAGCATATATTTCAGTTAGATAGTTTTTAAAAATCTTTGTGCCACCAAGAAAATGAACTTGTTAAATATGGATTTTCTAAGTTGCGTGTCAAGCAACATTTACTTTCTTCATAAACAATATAACTCACCTGATTAATAGAGGAAAGTCAGAGGTTAGAGTTTTGCTGAGGAAGAGTAGAAAATAACTCGTGTTAGAATCATGTGGGTTCTGGGTAAATGTTTATAGTTGTAGGCCCTACACCAGCCTGGTAGAATCAGAATTTGGGAGTGTGTTGTGACCGGCGCAACAAACACCGAGATCAGAGTCCTGAGGGTAGGGGAATGCAAGAAAAAAAGAGAGAAGAGAAAGTTTGGGAACAGGAGGGTCCCCTGGGCTCATGGCCCAAGTGACGGCTTTATTGTTGCTGTACACAATCTTTTATAATATAAGACTCTTATGGATCAGGTCATTCTAAGAATAAACAGGTTTCACATGATCACTGCCAGCCAAAACATTTAGTTCTGTGTACCTTGCGAACTTTCTGAATGGGTCACAAGACCTTGTTAATAGATTGCTAGCAAAACACAGTTCCCATGTTTGTTTCTATCTGACTCAGGGTAGAAAAAGGGAGGTAGCATTACTGCCAACACCTGCAGACCACAGGCTTCAGGAATTAACTTTCTCAGCCTTGACAAGGCTTTCATATGCCCTTGCAAGTGGGGGAATGGGAGGGGGAACCGCCGGTTTGGCTGAGTCAACAGGGAACATTGCTCAACCCGGTCTCAACCTGGCACCGGGGCCTGGCCCCCCACAGGGTGTGACCTAGAAATATTCATTCTAACAACCCCTCCGTTACCACCAAAAAGTGAGAATCAAAATAGTGATAAAGCACTGTTTTGGTTTTAATGGATGTTTTACCTCAACCCCTGTAGAAGCCTTTGTGGGATGTTACTTGACTACTTAAAAGATCCAATTAAGTCCCTACTGACTTGCCAGAGGTCCCTCACTTTAGTTGAAGTTCAAGTAACCTCAACTAAAGAGAATCAAGGATAGAATAGACTAGCTATAAATCACAAAGAATAATTTCTGGGGCGCCTGGGTGGCTAAGTCGGTTAAGCGTCTAACTTGGGCTCAGGTCATGATCTCACGGTCCGTGAGTTTGAGCCCCGCCTCCGGCTCTGTGCTGACTGCTCAGAGCCTGGCGCCTGCTTCAGATTCTGTGTCTCCTTCTCTCTCTGCCCCTCCCCTGCTCATTCTCTCTCTGTCTCTTTCTCTCTCTCTCTCAAAATAAATAAACATTAAAAAAATAATAATTTCAATAGAAGTAGATAGAGAGCTCTTTTGACGTTGGCTTCACAAATTTTCCAGGAAAAACCTTGGAGAACTCAGCTTTTGTTGTGTGGTAGGGAGAATTTGTATCTATAAAATGGACAAATGGGGAAGTCCATACGTAGGAAATATAGTTGAAGTGAAAGGCAAAGATGAAATTGTGAGTCACTATTCGCACTCCTCTTGGCACCCCATAATGCTATACACACACTCCCCCCCACCAAAAAAAAAAAAAAAAGCAGAAACTCGAGGTTGAAAAAGAGGAAAAAGTGTCAGGCAGCCTGCACAAACACTCTAAATGGGACTTCTCTTAAGCTATTTATTTTCTGTGTTTTGTCTGTCTTGCACAGTCTCAGGAGACAGAAAACATTATAAGAGCTGCTGTGTCACAGAAACAAGAGAAAAAGAGTGGGGTGGGTTCATGTAGGATCTCAGGTTTGTCAGTCATATATTGTTTGCATCTTCTTGATTAATATGAAGAAAGTGATTGTTTAAAGAAAAGGGACACTTGTGTCTCCCTCTTATTCTTGCTTTGAAGTTCAAAAGAAAAGGAGGAAAACAAAAATTAGGAGAAAAAAATACATTTGTATGCTGAAAAGAGGGTGAGGAAGAGGCTTAGAGTCTACCCTTTTATTGCTCACTGTTACAGATCAACTGATGAAGCAAAATCTACCGCTGATATAATTTTAAGGATGATAGGGATTAATGTGTTGTTGAGAAAGAAATACTCCCTACAGAATTTGTCTTGGTCAATGAACCATGTTCTATGGAGTCAGAGGGTAGCTCAACTTGGATAAATAAATTGGGTAAGATTTTGTTGACATTAGGAAAAGCATATCTATTTATTCCAGAGACAACAAGGGAGTCAAAACTGTTGGCAATACTAAAAAGAACTACAGATAAACAGTAGTCATATTTACTTAACAAATACTATTTTTTTTAAAGCAACAACTTTCTTGGGCGTGGAGGTGAAATCTTTTAGAAATTAGTGAAATTGGTGAAATTTAGAAATTAGTGAAATCTCTCAGATCTATCTCACGTGTATTCTTCAGGTCTTTATTTGCACCATCCTATGTAAAACTGGCTCTGGCTAAGGAAGTTTCCAAGGGCCTCATAAATTTACTACTTGACTTCGTTTTCCAAAACGCCCAGTGTTGCCCATCCTAAATACACCCTTCCAGTTATTATTTTTTTTTTAGCAGACATTACAGAATGTTCAGCCCATATTTTCTGTATTCCATGATAACTGGCATTTGTATCAGACCTTTTACTCATTGTTCAGTCATCCTGCCTATGCAAGCTGCTTTTTTTTTAACGTTTATTTGTTTTTGACAGAGACAGAGACAGAGCATGAGTGGGGGAGGGGCAGAGACAGAGGGAGACACAGAATCCGAAGCAGGCTCAGGCTCTGAGCTGTCAGCACAGAGCCCAACGCGGGGCTCGAACCCACGGACCCCGAGATTATGACCTGAGCCGAAGTCGGACGCTCAATCGACTGAGCCACCCAGGCGTCCCAACAAGCTGCATTTTGATAATCATTCTCAGGCTTCCACTAATCACAGAATTTGATCCCAGGGGAGAATTTTAATCCTTTCAGTGTCTAAATCTTCACCGTAAGGAAATAGGGTTCAACTTGTGGATAGCTTAAGCTTGTAAATGTTCAGCTAATCTCATGTTTCACACAATGTTTTGTAAATTAAGACAATCCATTTTGTGAGAATGACATAGCCTTGAGAAGTAGAATCAATGGGAGTAAACTGCTTATTAAAGTGAATAGCTCAGCCAAGAATTTCTGATTTTATAACATGAATTTTCATTGAACTGAATGCTGTAGGGGCCTTTTGAGATGTTTGAGATGTTTGAGTTCTTTCTAGACCATTCTGTAATGGCACCAGAGTAATATGGACAGTACCTCATCTGTGAGCAAAGGAATTATTTGTTTCATTTCCATACTGAACAATGATATGGTACATCTAACAATTAAGAATATTACCAATCTTTTTGTTTTCATGGAACTTTCCAATGCTTAGTGAACTCATAGTTTTCTGAGACTTCTCAGGGGGTACTGTATTCTAATAATAGTCTGTTTGACGTATTAACTAAAGGCAAAATGGAAGAAAAGATTTGGAAATCCCTGCCCAATAGCCTTTTCCTTATCTTTACTCCAAATAATCAATTCATCTTGTCTTTTTACATCTTTCAAGAGCTCAAGGAATTGGAAGCACATCATATCATATGACATCAAATTATTTCGTGTCATATTTCCTACCTCTTTCTGCTGGGGGACCAAAAAACAATGAGAAGTCAGAGCAATTAGCACACCTAAAAACAAGATCTTGTTTCTAAATACCATTCTCTATTTAGAGGAATCTGGAGATATGGTTGATGAGCATTTGCCATGTGTTATGCATTTGTCTTAAAACATGCATAATGTGGTAAGCAAAATTACAACCCCCTCCCCAGAAATTTCCATGGCCTATTCACCACAACTGTGTATGTGTGGCCTTAACATGGCAAAAAGGACTTTGAAGATGTAATTAATGTTAACTAATCAGTTGACCTTAAAATTGGAAAACTAGATAATCCTGGATTTTCCAGGTGGGCCCAATGTAATCCAATAAACCTGTAAGGCCAAAGACGAAGGCAGAGGGAAAAAGTCAGAGAGATTTGAAGCACAAGAAGAAATCAACAGGCCATTGCTGGCTTGAAGGTGGAAGGGACCATGTGTCAAGGAAACAGGAATCCCAGTCTTACAATCACAAGGATCTAAATTTTTCTGAAAACCTGAATGAGTTTGGAAGTGGATTC